AAGTACCAGCAGAATTGACTAAATATTTTATTTCTGTGGTAATTTTTGAATTAATAATATTTTTTTTTTTTTTTTTTTTTTTAATTTAAACAATTAATTTTTTTATTTTTACTCCCGTATAGCCGGTCTCCCGCGGCCTTTTTTTCCTTTTTTTTTTTTTTTTTGTAAGTTTAGTGATGAACCAAATATGGCTTCCCTGGTGAGGAGAGCATAATATTTCAAATCTGTTAGCCCCCCTGTTTTAGGTGTGTTTTGGATTGCTTCAGACAAAGTTAAGGGCGAGGCACAATAGTACTGTTATGCGGTATGAACTGACTGGCTTCCCTGGTGAGGAGAGCATAATGTTTCAAATCTGTTTATCCGGTTTCAGGTGTGGTTTTGAAAATTTTGTTAGGACGAGCTATTAAAATTAGGTAACCTGTAAGTTTTAAGCAATGTATCTCAAAAGTAGCGATTGCAACGGCCGCCGAAACTTAGAAGGATTTGTATGATAATAGCCTGCGTAGCAGGCGCTTGGAAGTAGTGGGCGAAAGAGAGAACGGGCGCGCGCGAGGGAGACACGCGAGGGGCCCGTTCTCTCTTTCGCCCACTACTTCCAAGCGCCTGCTACGCAGGCTAGTATGAGAAAAACAACTCTTGCCACCTAGTCACGCCCGAGTGGTTTTCCATACAACTCCTTGTAGAAACCTGAAACTTATAAACTATGGTTAAATCTTTCCCTTATGCATTTAAGGGCTCAAATTGCCTGTTATCTATTAAAAGGAGATTTGAGCCCCGTAGTACGAAGTTTCGTTTCGGGGTGAAATTCTCTCTCCAGTAAAACAGCCGGGGTGAACTCTAGCCTGTCCCAGGCTCCGAGTTAGTCGGTTCCGCAGAATTGAGAAAGCGCGAAGGTGAACTCACGCCTGGGTGACTCGCGCCGGCATGACATTTTGAAGAGCCATGAGAGGGAACTGGAGTGATCTCGCGCCGGCGCGAAAGTCGCCCCGGTGTAATGTGAACACCCCCTTAGTAAACTTGCTCAGTTTTAAAGTGAAAAGTCTTAAATGAGCGAAGAGATAGCTCCTCAGTCAAAGTCGCGAAAATTTACGGACGGTTGTTTGGTGGTGGACATATTAAATTCTGCAAGCATAGAATACTGCAATGCTGATCGTACTACGTAAAAATTTTTAAAGTTTATTTTTACGTAGTACGATCAGCATTGCAGTATTCTGCTTGCAGAATTTAATATGTCTACTTTTCCTTTTTGCTGATCAGGTCTTTATAGATCCTACGTTCTTCGGCATATTCGTTTAGGGGCCTTTGCAGTCCTTTGTGGTTAATGTTTGTACGGTAAGTTTGTGCCCCGCGCTATTTATAAACGATTGATTGATTGATTGATTGGCATCTTCGTTAGTTTTCAACAAATTGCCTTTAAAATTGAAAGTTGTACCAACTTTAACGCACTGTTCTTTCCAGCGAAGTCGATGGATTTTACCTAACTTGTCCATGTCAAAAGTTGACAAAAACCGTTGAAACGTTTATTTCAGTCATGGTGAGCGAGATGCAACAGCCTGATTTTTTTTCCCGCTTCTTCTATTAATAGTCTCCAAGAGCACCAAAGTCTGTTGCTCATAGGCAAAGCATGATGTTTGTACCACACCTTTTACGAAAACCACTGGAATGTCCGCCAGAACAATTCGGTTAATCTACCGAAAAGTGTTATTAACTAGTTAAGGTGATCATGCAGAAACGTTGACAAAAAGCCATAGCTAGGTTCTTTGTGATTGGTTTTGCAATGATTATTTGTGTTTGAACAGTCTCATCTCGAACGTTCCCCAAGGCGTTAAATACGTGATGATATTAGTTATTGATTTAAGGAACTGCGTCTTTCTTTTGTGCATTAGGTCACGGTCGAGGTTGCAAAAATTATTTGTACACTTTTCTCTGCACATATACAAAGTAAATGCGCAATTATAGCCTCGACTAAGCCCTACCGTACACTTACGATTGGGCTAATCTTTATTGAAAAGTAATTTTACCCCAAGATATCCGCAATTTGTCTGGCACCACTTCGATATAAAGCGGAATTTTGCTACAAAGTTTCGCTGCTTGCCTTGTATATTAACAGTAGGAGGAGGGGGGCACTCCCTTATTGAATGGGAGGTGCCCTAATGGTATGGTTTTTGAGAGTTTTTGGTCTGAAATTACGTGTTGATCTTTACCATTTTCAGTTGGCCTGAGAAATGATACAGTTCAATCTGGAACTGAGTTCAGAAGACGCAGTTTTATAATTTATTCGGGAAGTGTGGTTTTTTTTATAGAGATGAACCGATGATGTACTGATGTACTGATGGAAGTCGAAGCAATCTCTTTAGTAGCTGGGAACACTACACATCAGAGTCTACAACGGTCTGGTCTGAAACAGTGTATCGAATTTTGGGTTAAAGTCTGAAATAGGTGATGAAAATTGCATAATTAATTCTGAAATAGTGCGAGTGTTGCTAGAACCATGTCCCACACACCCACCCAAACGTTCCGAGGGTATCTCCCCCCCCCCAGGATAAAGAATTTGGGACCTATTCACCAATACTAGACATTTTGCAGTAAATGATTTTAGTTCATTCTTCATAGCATATTGATGGATCAGTATATCTGTACCAAGAAAAAAACATTTTATGCCGTGACTTTTCCCATGCAGCTGGCCCTAAAGAAAATATTTCGGTTCGGTAATTTTTTTATTCTTACAAAGGACTATTTTTAGAAGACACAATGATCTCGCTTTGAGTTTATTTCTTTATACTAGGCTCTTTCTTATTGGTGTGATTTTGTGTTCAATGCGGTTGTTAGCCTCAGTGATTGGTTGGTTTATATATGACGTGATGAGAGCCAACCCTTTTAGCAGTAACTGCGCCTATCTACCGTTGCATTGCTGAAGGTGCGGCTCGATAGTGTCACTTGCAGCTCATAAGCATTGCAACAAGAAACGCTTTACGAAAATGCAAGCTCTGTTTGCCTTGGCCTTTCTGTCGTGTATCTCTGTTGGTAAGTGAAATCATATTTATGTTTTAAAGGCTTCCAGAGGATTTTTTTTCACGGTTTTTTTAAATATAATTCAAGTCGCTATTTTGGACCGTTTACGCTTGAAGTATGCTTTTCTTGTAAGATGGTTGAGGCTAAACCGCTCCTTTTTAATATGTACTGCTGCAAATTTTGTATTAATATACGCATCAGGTTATTAATCGACCCGCAAGCGTCTTCTAATGTTTATTAGGAAGCTTTAGCAACGACGACGTCGAAGGCAACGAGAACGTCAAGAAAGAAAGATGTACCAAAACAATAAGCACATTTTTGTAAATTTCTTTGCCGTCAATGTCTAGTGCGACCGCAATATGTTTCATNTTGTTAGCCTCAGTGATTGGTTGGTTTATATATGACGTGATGAGAGCCAAACCCTTTTAGCAGTAACTGCGCCTATCTAACGTTGTATTGCTGAAGGTGCGGCTCGATAGTGTCACTTGCAGCTCATAAGCATTGCAACAAGAAACGCTTTACGAAAATGCAAGCTCTGTTTGCCTTGGCCTTTCTGTCGTGTATCTCTGTTGGTAAGTGAAATCATATTTATGTTTTAAAGGCTTCCAGAGGATTTTTTTTCACGGTTTTTTTAAATATAATTCAAGTCGCTATTTTGGACCGTTTACGCTTGAAGTATGCTTTTCTTGTAAGATGGTTGAGGCTAAACCGCTCCTTTTTAATATGTACTGCTGCAAATTTTGTATTAATATACGCATCAGGTTATTAATCGACCCGCAAGCGTCTTCTAATGTTTATTAGGAAGCTTTAGCAACGACGACGTCGAAGGCAACGAGAACGTCAAGAAAGAAAGATGTACCAAAACAATAAGCACATTTTTGTAAATTTCTTTGCCGTCAATGTCTAGTGCGACCGCAATATGTTTCATGAAAGACGAAAACAAGCTTCGACCAACTTTTTTGTTTCTCTCTCTGGAAAAATTGCCAATCAACTGTAACGAAAAGGCAAAAGACAAAAGCAGACAGTCTTGGAACTAAAAGTGTGATTCCAATGATATTACTACTCCTTTTCTATACATATCTAAGAATAGCATTTGAGCGCTTTGTTGCCAGTTTTTTATTCAAGGTGTGGGGTTAACGTTCTTTTGCAACTGGGTTTGAAACTTAAAGCTCGAGGGCTGGATATCTGAGCTGGACATGTTCCCAGCGCCCTGATCAGTTTAAAAACTATTAGACGGCCTTTACCACCTGAGGCCATAGACGATATTTTATGCCCGCGTGTTTGTAAGTTACCGTTAAAACACACTCATTAACTTCAGACTTTTCTGTGAGCCCAATTAACTCAGATTAGTTGAATTTCGACTTTCGGTACTACTAAATAGCTTTAATAAAATAGAGGGCAGTCTCTTCAAATTTCATGCCAGCTTGAATATTTTAAAGAGCTTTAGGACTGACTAACTCAGCTTGAGATGTTCTTCAGCGTTTATTTCCTATGTAGCCAACGAAATGGCTTATATTAGAAATTCAGTTTTTATGACTAACGCAGTCGGTAGGTCTCACCCCTAAAACCTCTGTATACAACCACATTTATGTGAAGCTGCGT